TTTAGCTGTATTCATATCTGTGTTATCCCTTAATATGTAAATGGAATTAACTACTGTATTGAAATGTATTTAGCTGTATTTTGATGTATTCTGATTTGTTATTCTTGAACATGTGTGATGTATTTCAAACTCCCATTTCTATTACCAAAATCTATTTTCTTACAATACTTATATGTATTTAACTGTATTCTAACATTAAGTTACTACACTAACAATGATACATACAACTAACAGAAACAAGTGCTTAATGATCAGTGTTTCGAGTCAAGAGGAGAGGGGAAAACTACATCAGAGGTGCCGTCCAAAATACCATCTACAGGTCAAGAGGGTGCATCTACAGATCTATGTATCTCAATTTGAGCTGGACGACAAGTTTCTTCCCAGTCAAATTCCAGAAACTAGAATTGTGATTCGCAACAGTACAAAAAAAGCTGAATCAACCCAATACCATCTCATAGGAATCGGCGACCAAGTAGATGGTACTCTTCGCCTTATGAGTCTAACTTCGACTCCGCAGGTTAGTGATTTTATAAACTTAAGATTTAGCTTTCCTCATGGTTTTTAAATTTAAAAGTCTCTAATCACGAATTTAATGAACAACAGGTACCTCAGTAAAGTTGACCCCCATTTTTGAAAAAAGACACCCCTTTGAGGATGATTCAATAACGGGGCCACATCCTATGTTAATCATTCAGGAATATGACAAATGGGTTCGTGATGGTCTTCTCGCTAGACATGATCAGAGGTGAGTTTTAAATCGGTATGTGTATTAAGTTTTTATATTTTTAAAAATACAAATAATGTTTTTTATACCATACTTGTAGAAGTAATTTGGAAGACCATTACAAGAAGAACAAGTCAACACTTCATATACCATTGGATTTTGGAGTTGATCAAGTTAATTCAAAAAATTGGTTTTACCTTCTATCGTTTGACGGGAAGCTATGGGATGACAACGTAAGTTTTTCCCCTATATTAAGTTGTATTATTCAGCTGTATTTTGGTGTATTCAGATGTATTCAGCTATAGTAAGTTGAATTGAAATGTATTAATCACCTACAGTCAGCTGTATTCAATTTATATATTCAGCTTTATTAAACTTCTATAATCAGATGTATTTAGAAATTATTTCAGCTGAATTCAAATGCTTTAATCAGCTGTAGTCAGATGTATTTTGGTGTATTCAGATGTATTCAGCTATTTATAGTTGAATTGAACTGTATTAATCACCTAGAGTCAGTTGTATTCCATATGCTGTATTCAACCTAATTTATCCTTATTCAGCTGTAGACAGTCATATTCAACTATTTAAATCATAAGTAGTCAGTTGTATTATTCAATATTATTCAACTTAACATATTTTAAAAAAAATTGAATTGTTTTAATCAGATGTAATAAGATGTAGTTAGTTGTAGTCAACAGTTTTATTCACATATAGTCCGTTGTATTCTACTGTATTTTTCATATGTGTTTCTCTGTATTCAACTATGTTCTTTAATAGTTTCATTAATTGGACTCACACCATGTACTTACCTCTTTTGTGTATAGCATATTGACGTCATATTCTACTATTTGAGAAAGAAGGGAAAGTACAATCAAACAAGCAACTTCAAGTATACAACTGTTGATTGTATATTCAAGACAAGAATCACTGAAATATTCGACAGGTATGCTGATACAGATAGTAATGCTAATGTAGCCAAAGAAGAGGATGTGGTATGTGAGTACATAAGATGCTACAGATTGCATGCTAATGTACCTTGGCATACTGTGGATAATGTCATGATACCAGTCAACTTGAAGGACAAACTACACTGGGTATTGGTTGTTGTCTCATTCAAGGAGAGATGTATCAAAGTGTATGACTCGTACAGATTTGCAGGTCATGATGCTTATGTAGTTTCTGAGATTGATAAACTAGCTAAGCTTGTACCTCTGTATCTATCAATCAGTGGCTTTTACAGAGATAGTCAAGGCATAGATTGGTCTGCTTACTCAGCATACACTGACAAGTCACATAATGATCCCTTTGAAGTTTTATTTATTTCAGATCTGCCTCAACAGAAAGCTGGGAGCATGTAAGTATTCAATCATCAATATTGTATGTTATGTACAAATCTAACTGTATGAATTATTTTTAATTGTTTTAATCAATTATTTTTTAGGGATTGTGGGGTGCATGTTGCAGCATATGCAGAGTTTCTGAGCACTCTTGGAGAGATTCCACAAACAACATTTTATTCCACTCTACTCCGTTAAAGATATGGTGCTCTCCTCTGGGACTATGCTATGCGTAAGATAGACGCTGATGCCATAAGCGAGAATGACGCACCTTCAAAGATTGCTAGGCAAATCACGGAGTCAGATTCAAAGATGCAGATAGTGTTAGCGTAGCTTTAGGTTATTATAATGTTAGAGTCAGATTCAAAGATGCAGATAGTGTAGTTTCAAGAAGAATACTGTTTTGAGTAGTTTTTGGTCTAGATGGTATTTAGTTTGAAACACTTATCACTTTATCAACAGTGTTCGTGTATGATAATTGCAACTTTTCAATCACTGTTTCACTGGTTTGTTCATAAGTATTCATTCTTATTCTTCATTTTGAATACATATTTATTTTACAGGAGTCAAGTATGTATTAATACCAAGTAACTTTGCTTGAACAGGTTTTAGTTAATGAACATGTCAATGTCAAAGTCAGAAACTTTATGTATGCTGATGGTAGGTTATATAAAAGAACTCAGCTGTATTTTTTCTGGTTTCAGTTGTATTCAATTGTATTTAACTGCTATATTCAGTTGTATTCAGTTGTATTCAGCAGCATTCATTCAGATGTATCTTTCAAGTTCAGATAATACATATTAAAGAACACAATTTCATATGTATTAAACAGGTTGTACGTAGTCAGTTATATTCAGATGTACTCAGTTGTATTTAAGTGTATTATTCAGCAGTAGTTAGTTGTGTTTAAGTGTATTATTCAGCTGTATTCAGTTGTATTCAGTTGTATTCGGCAGCATTCATTCAGATGTATCTTTCAAGTTCAGATAATACATATTAAAGAACACAATTTCATATGTATTAAACAGGTTGTACGTAGTCAGTTATATTCAGATGTACTCAGTTGTATTTAAGTGTATTATTCAGCAGTAGTTAGTTGTGTTTAAGTGTATTATTCAGCTGTATTCAGTTGTATTCAGTTGTATTCGGCAGCATTCATTCAGATGTATCTTTCAAGTTCAGATAATACATATTAAAGAACACAATTTCATATGTATTAAACAGGTTGTACGTAGTCAGTTATATTCTGATGTACTCAGTTGTATTTAAGCGTATTATTCAGCAGTAGTTAGTTGTATTTAAGTGTATTATTCAGCTGTATTCAGTTGTATTCAGCAGCATTCATTCAGATGTATCTTTCAAGTTCAGATAATACATATTAAAGAACACAATTTCATGTGTATTAAACAGGTTGTACGTAGTCAGTTATGTTCAGATGTACTCAGTTGTATTTAAGTGTATTATTCAGCAGTAGTTAGTTGTATTTAAGTGTATTATTCAGCTATATTCAGTTGTATTTTGGTATATTCATTTACTAACAGTGCTACTCAACTGTATTATTTCATAATAATACATCAGCTGTATCCAGTTGTATTTTTTAGTACTCATCTATACTCAGTTGTATGCTGATGGTAGGTTATATAAAAGAACTCAGCTGTATTTTTTTCTGGTTTCAGTTGTATTCAATTGTATTTAACTGTCAAATTCAGTTGTATTCAGTTGTATTCAGCAGCATTCATTCAGATGTATCTTTCAAGTTCAGATAATACATATTAAAGAACACAATTTCATATGTATTAAACAGGTTGTACGTAGTCAGTTATATTCTGATGTACTCAGTTGTATTTAAGCGTATTATTCAGCAGTAGTTAGTTGTGTTTAAGTGTAGTATTCAGTTGTATTCAGTTGTATTCGGCAGCATTCATTCAGATGTATCTTTCAAGTTCAGATAATACATATTAAAGAACACAATTTCATATGTATTAAACAGGTTGTACGTAGTCAGTTATATTCTGATGTACTCAGTTGTATTTAAGCGTATTATTCAGCAGTAGTTAGTTGTATTTAAGTGTAGTATTCAGTTGTATTCAGTTGTATTCTGCAGCATTCATTCAGATGTATCTTTCAAGTTCAGATAATACATATTAAAGAACACAATTTCATATGTATTATACAGGTTGTACGTAGTCAGTTATATTCAGATGTACTCAGTTGTATTTAAGCGTATTATTCAGCATAGTTAGTTGTATTTAAGTGTATTATTCAGCTGTATTCAGTTGTATTCTGCAGCATTCATTCAGATATATCTTTCAAGTTCAGATAATACATATTAAAGAACACAATTTCATATGTATTAAACAGGTTGTACGTAGTCAGTTATATTCAGATGTACTCAGTTGTATTTAAGTGTATTATTCAGCAGTAGTTAGTTGTATTTAAGTGTATTATTCAGCTGTATTCAGTTGTATTCTGCAGCATTCATTCAGATATATCTTTCAAGTTCAGATAATACATATTAAAGAACACAATTTCATATATATTAAACAGGTTGTACGTAGTCAGTTATATTCAGATGTACTCAGTTGTATTTAAGTGTATTATTCAGCGGTAGTTAGTTGTATTTAAGTGTATTATTCAGCTATATTCAGTTGTATTTTGGTGTATTCATTTACTAACAGTGCTACTCAACTGTATTATTTCATAATAATACATCAGCTGTATCCAGTTGTATTTTTTAGTACTCATCTATACTCAATTATACTCAACTGTATAGTTCATATATATTTAACTGTATAAAAATACTTCAACTACATGTATTCAGAAAATATTCACGAAAGTCATTTCAGAATATATTACTTGACAATGAGAATTTATTACTTGACAATGTCATCATAAGTATTGACAAATCGTTGAAGCACCAATACATGTCAGAGTGTTAACTATTTATTACGTGGAGCATTTCTACATGTTCGCTTGTTATGTCCTCCCTGACCACATATGCTACATGAATGTTGATTTTTCGGCTGCAACAATTCACTTAAAGTTTTATCTCGCTTCTTCTTTGGCCTTCCAGGAGGTCTTTTCCATTTGGGTGGTAGTACAACCTCCTTTGCAACATGTTCTGGTATATTCCAGTCATTTCTGTCCAGTAGCGGGTACACTGGTACATCGTATGTCATTACAATTGTATTTGGTTTGTAATAGTTAGAGCAATATTCTTCTGGCATTAGAAACTTGCTCTTCAATACAGCCCAAGCATGTGGGCATGGCAATTCATCAACTTCGAACCTCCCACAACCACATTTTCTCTCTAACAGGCAGACTGTATAATTCCTCCCACCATCGTTAACCGTATGTAAGTATTCAGTTGATGGTACCACCTACATATAAAAATAGAAATATAAGTTTTGAATATATATTCCTGAATTACCAAATGTATAATGTTGAATTAATAAGTTACATACAACTGAAATATTTGCATATATATGAATACATCATATATTGTATCCAGCAAAATATCAACAGTGAGAAGTGCAGAACTTATCAAAAGTCTGCTGTACTTTAGGCAACAGGATGCTAACAAAAGCACTAGAATCATACGCATTGACAATACATATTAAAATTACATATAATACAGCTTTTAGTTGTATTCTGATGTATTCCAATAGTTTTTGTAGCATGTTTTTAGTTATATTCAGTTGTATTGATATCAGATCTACGGAAAAATATGTCTTTTATGTGTTTGAATATAGTTGTATTCATATGTAATAATGGTAGTTCTACTTAAAACTGATTGTATTCAGTTGTATTCATGCCGTTAATTCAGAAAACAATTAAGCTATATACAACAATGACATTAAAATATAACTTACAGTCATACGTGTAGACATTCCCTCATTCAAAGTCAGCATCTCCTGGTATTTTTTTTCCAAGATTCGTGTATGTCTGTGTAGCTTTTTTGCGGTTACTACAATTCCAACGTCCAAACATCTTCCTAACTTCTTCGAGGAAGTCGTATATTGGCAATTCCCTTGCTGAAATTAGTGCGGCATTGATTGACTCAGCAATATTTGACGTCATTGTCCATCCCCTGTTAACAGGTGCATACAACCTAGCCCACTTTTCGTAACCAGCTAACTTTAAGTATTCTTTCACCCTAATATCTACCTTCTCCACCTTCTCCATCGGACTGTCAAATTCAGCTTGTGTGTACGCTCTTGCCATCGAGAAGTATATCTCGCTCAACTTGGCATGGCTCTTTTTGAATTTCTTATATACGTTGTTCCATAGATGCCATATACAAGCAAAATGCGGTACATCTGGATACACTCTCGATACAGATTTAATGATACACTCATTTCTATCTGAAACGATGCACATGTTTTCCCTTTCACCGTATGCTATCTTGAATTGCTCAAAGAACCACATCCAAGCAGCATCGTTCTCTGAATCAATAACACCATATGCTAGTGGCAATATATGACCTGTAAATACAATTGAATATAATTATTTTTAAAACATGTATTTCAATATTTAAAATATTATAATTCAGATACTCACCTGCACCATCCAACATGCTTGCCGAAACGAATGTCCCGGTGTAGTAAGATTTTAGGTGACTTCCATCCACAACAACAATGGGTCTACAATGATCAAGCCCCCTTATAAAGGCATACAAGGATATATACACGTACATGAATTCATTTTTTGGCGATTTTGCCATTCTGATGTGGGAACCTGGATATGTCATATCCATTGTATATAAGTATCCTGGTAATTTTTTGTATGAATCAGCCGGTTCGCCTCTCAGAAAATTCATTGCCTTTTCTTTAGCCCTCCACGCCAACATGTAGCTAACATCTACACCTAAATCTGATTTCACATCATCAATAATATCCCTTGGAGTGTATTTCCTCTTATGGTATGTAAGCTTAGGCCTTATCATACCACATATAAGGCTGCTACTAGCCTGCCGCTGCTCATACACCTTGTCCTTCAGCGGACATGTATGGTTATCATTGAATTCTCTCACCTTGAATAGTTCTGATTTATTAATGCTTGAAGCCTTATTCCTCCATTCACAATCTTCTGAAATACATAATAATGCATAGCTGCAAATAATTAATCATTTTACATTTGATTAGCATAGGTGTTTACAAAAAATACAGCTCATATACAGATAAATACAATCTGACATAGATACATCCTTGTATATATATATATATATATATATATATATATATATATATATATATATATATATATATATATATATATATATATATATATATAAATTTGTATACTACTGAATTCCATTATAGTTATATGTGTTTAAATACAATGAATACATCTGAATACACTTGTTTGTATATGCGTACACTTAATACCACAGTAGACCTTGATAAGAAAATAATTAGAGCCACTGTTGGGTATTTATACCAGTAAAATACATTTGAATACATGTATTTAAGGACCCTAGACAAACATATGTTTACTTCAAGTGTGATCACCAATAAGAAATACACAAATACGCATGAATACAACAACGTTAAACTTACAGCACCATCCAATAATAGAAAATACAAAGGAAAAAAATTTGAATACATGCAAACCTGACAGCATTAGACCTATCAACCCGGAATTGAAACCTTTGAGCTATAGCATAATTCTCCATCACCTCTTTCAATGTAGCCTTATCCTTATAAACTTGTCCAGCCATAACCTCCTTTTGATTAGTTTTTGAAATTATCAAATCCTTGTGGAGTTCGAACACTCCAATCGCTTCTCCTGAATTGACAAAATCTAGAGCCATTGTATCATCTGTATCGGAATCGTACCTTTGAACTGCTTCGTCTATTTGCACAATGTCGCCTTGACTTTAAACTACCTCCGGACTATAAGATCTTTTTCGATAGTTGTTATGCACAACGGATACATCCCAAATTCTCTGTTCTCTTTTTTCAATTCTACATACACTCTATAACCCATATCATTGTGTATTTTCATTGGCGTGCAATTTCCTTCTACTTTGTATTGTATTTTAATGGTCTTTGAGCTCAAATCTACGCCCAGTTGATTAGAAATTGAAGCAACCAGATCATTAAAGGAGGCATACTCCTTTATCAGTATTCCCTCAATTGAAAAATCGATGTAATTGCCCTCATCGTTCCACTTGCCAGAATGACGCAACAAAACTGTTAAACTTGCCATATGTATAGAGGAGTTATACCTTATTTTGTATATAATTTGTATCAATCGAAAAAAAGGAGAAGAGAATGGCAGAATATTGATCAGATGATGCTCTGCTTTTTCGCTTTTTTCACGTTTCTGAGTTGCTTTCTTTGTAGCAGAATACAGATTAATGAGGG